CTGGATGCTCGAAGCCTCCGGAAACATGTTCGGGGACCGACGTAAAAAACAAACGACGCGCCACATGCGCACAGCTAGTTGGTGATCACGTGTGCCTGCGAAGGTCCAGATAAAAAAGATGAGTGAAGCATGGCCGCTTTAATTGATCTACAGATCACGCACATTCGATGACGAAAGCCCGATGCAAAGATGCCCTTGGTCTTTCCGCGTGCTGAAAGGGCAACGTAAACGCAACCGACGATTACTCTATTAATTTAAGGTGCTCGAGTATCACCGCATAATACCCGCGCGATCATCACCTCCTAGCCTTCATATCCGACACACCTCCTCCCTCCTCCAATCGCTCGGCCTAGCCGAAACAGTGCCGGGCCGCAGCCTTCCGCCGTCGCCATCCTCTTCCTCCTCCTCCTCCTCCTCCTCCTCCTCCCTCTCCTCCTCCACCTTCTCCCTCTCCTCCTCCTCCTCCTCCTCCTCCTCCTCCTCCTCCTCCTCCTGCTCCGAGTTTTCGAAGCTCCACGCTGCCAGGCAGGATCAGCTCGAGCATCGCACCATTGCGTTTGATTGCTCGGACGGCTCGGTTCTGTTCATTTGCACGCGCTGCAAGTGCCATTCGAGTGGGGCTTCGGTTCGGGGTCTCGGGGCGCGCTGCGAGCCCCCTCCCTCCCGGGCTGCTCACTATGGGTGGGAGGCTCTGTGCAAGGGCCGCCACCCGCATTATAGCAAACAGAAGCTCGGCGTCACGGTGGAAACGAACAACCTGACACGATATTTTTATACTTGATTTGATTTTCGAAGAGCGCCCCAGCCTCCTTCAACAGGTACGGCGGTGGGCCCCTCTAGATTTTCTTAGCTCTGCCGCACTTCCCTCTATTGCGGCACGAGTTTGAGCCTGCGACAAGCAGGCCTGCAGAGGAGTCGGGCGTTGAAAGAAAACAGAAATCCTCCTCCTCCTCCTCCTCCTCCTCCTCCTCCCGTCCCGCGCACTCCTCCTCCTCCTCCTCCTCCTCCTCCTCCTCCTCCTCCTCCTCCTCCTCCTCCTTCCTCCTCGTCCTCATCCTCCTCCTCCTCAAGCTCCTCCTCCTCCTCCTCCTCCTCCTCCTCCTCCTCCTCCTCGTCGGTGTCTTCCCATTCCTCCTCATGTCTGCTCCGAGCCAGCGTGTCCTGCACGCTAGAGCCGTAGAAACCGGTGCCGGCGCACCCGAACTCGTAGCACGCCCCCATGACAATGCAGTCATCCTCGGCACGGGGCGGAGGAGGAAAGGAGGAGGAGGAGGAGGAGGAGGAGGAGGAGGAGGAGGAGGAGGACGGGGAGGAGGAGGAGGAGGAGGAGGAGGAGGAGGAGGAGGGGGAGGAGGAGGAGGAGGAGGAGGAATGGTAGAGCCCCTGGCCGTGCCGATCCTGAGCCCAGGATTGGCCTGGCCAGGATCGTTGGCGCTGGAGCTGGAACGAGGAGGGGGGACTGGCTCAGGGGAGGGGGGGAAGCATCGAACCTGAAACGGAGAAACACTGCAGACCACTCGGCAATTGATTCCCGACAGGGAAACGGCACGTTCCAGGGCGGAGCTGGCTATCGGACCCCATTTCGGCGATGGATGGGCGATCGGATGTCGATGCGTTCGCCCCTCAGCCTCTGCTACCCTACCGCTGCCTCGAGGGTACAACAGGGACTATACTAGGTGCTGGAAAGCTGCATCACATGCGCAATCCCAAGCTGTGGATTCATGACAAACCAAATTTCAATCCAATTAATTACCTTCTCGGCTACCACCTAGACACAACTGCATCGCGCCCGTTCGGGAGCATCCAACCGGGCGTCGTAGACAGCCCTCCTGGTCGCAGCCGACTGGTTGCAAGCCGCCCACACAAACTCTAACACCAAACCTGCGTTCGCATGTTCCCTTATTGCCAGTGACTCCAAGACGCCAAAAGAGAACCAATCGCCAAATTGAAGATAACTATACTCAACTGTGACTCTGTACTCTCGGGGGGGCAAGTCACGCACGTGTCGATGTCCGTCGGGGGGTTCCAGCAAAATACGAGGAGCGTTTCCGAACGACGGACGGTATGTCCGTGTGGTTTGCGGCTCTAAGTGGGCGCGCGTCGAGCAGCCTTGCCGTTGACCGCCTGCGTCGCGCCCAAACAGTCAACCTGTATCCACAAGAGTTATTGCCACGCGTCCCGACACGAATGCAGCCTCAGGATGCGTCGGGCGATCCAAGAAAGGCGACAATCATACGATCGAGAGGAGGACGATGCGGACCTTGGTCCGGCGAAAGGTGCATCTCAGAAAGATCACACGCATTTCGAAACACATCCCCGACGCAAACCAACCATTCAGAGCGGGAGTCGCAATGACTCGGTGCCGAACGCTAGTCTGAACCAAACGATCTACACAATGGGTCCTCCCATGCACTTCGGTGTGGTGTCCACGGCTAGATTCCATGATACCCGCCAGATTGCATGCATGATTGCAGATGTTCGTGCCTGGGTAGACTCCCACCAGATTTGGCCCTGTACTCCACGCGCAGACAAATTAGAAGGTTAAGTCCGAATGAGAAAATAGAGCGCCGGCCGTCCCAAGCGCCTGCGTGGATAACGCGCAAGACGCGGTGAATACAACGCTAGGCGCCGGCATATCCGAACCATTGGCGAATCATGTTCGCAGATCGTTGGTTGAAGGATTCAAGGCCCCTGGCCGCCAGTGGACGAGTAATTTGCCGAAGTTGCGTGCACTTCCAACGCTGCAATTCCTGCAGGTCGGCCGTCAAACGCCACCATTCGCATCCAAGCACTGCCAAGGCTGCTGGCCTGTTGATCGAAGAATTCCCCCCAAAATGTCTCTTCATCTTCCTCCCCCTCCGTCCTCCTCCCTCTCTTCTTCCACTTACCTCATCCACCATATCCTCCGCATCCCCCGGCCGACATACTCCTACTCCTCATTGTCCTGTTCCGACTCCCCCTTTCATGTTCTGGTAGAAGACTCTGCATGACAATGAACTCTAAGAGGTCCGCGAAATTCTCCTGGATCGTAGCAGATCCTCCTGGTGGTGCTTCTGGCGCCACTCGTTGCGCGCTCCGCGCGCCAAGGAGCGGGGTCCACCGCCGATCCCAGAGACCCGCGCAGACCATCCAAATGTTATGTTTGCGCATGGTGTCCCTGAACCATGCTTGTACTTACGGGCTCGGCCTTCTCTTGCCCCAAACAGTGCTTGCACTCAGCGGGCCTGACGCATGGTGTGCAATGTTTGGATCGGTCTGTCGGGGTTCCGGCTGGTGCCCGCCCATGTGCGCGCCCGTGGACGCCCCGCCTTTTTGGTGCTCACGCCGAGATTTGGCCCGGTGCCCGCCCGTGGGCGCCCCGCGCTGGCGGGGACGTCGGGACAGCTGAGGTTTCGACTGGTGCCCGACGATGTTGAAGGGGCCCTGGGACGCACAAATAAATACACACAAAAGAACAGGATTCCCCATAGTTTCCGATTTTTGTTTGGTTTTCGTCTTCCCCCTCACTTCCCATATTTTTCCATATTTTGTAGAAAGAATTGGCGATTGATTGTATCTGTGTTTTTGTTTTCCTCCTGAGATGTGTGCCCGGCGATGGGGGAGGGTGATGGGGCTTCGCCCCTGGTGCCCGCCCGTGGGCGCCTCTCCCCTCCCCCGTCTTCATCAGAAATGTCACCCCCGAAGCTTTCTCGGGGTCGGTCTCGACATGGGAGCCTGCCCCAGACGGCGAGAAACTTCCAGGGTGACCAAGACATACGAACTGACGACGAGTATGATGTTTCCTTGACCCTCGAATCTCGCCAAACTTCCACTTCATCCTCTTTGTTGGCTTCCCGATCTCTGGTTTTCCAAAGTTGCCCGATCTTCCTCCTCCTTCTGCTCGTGCTCCTCCTCCCCCTCCTCCTCCTCCCCCTCCTCCTCCTCCTCCTCCTCTGCCTCCTGTAGATTCGTCGCCATCCTCCTCCTGGCGAGGTCCTTCCCGCTCAGGCCCAACCAGTGCGCCGTCGGCCGGATGGTGTGGAGGCACCGGCGCATCGGACTGCCGGTCGGGAGGGCGGGCTCGGGGGGAGGATGGGCAGAAAAAAAACGAGATAAATATATGGAGAGAGAGGGGGAGGAGGAGGAGGAGGAGGAGGAGGAGGAGGAGGAGGAGGAGGAGGAGGAGGAGGAGGAGGAGGAGGAGGAGGGGAAGGAGAGGAGGAGGAGGAAGAGAGGGAGACTGACACAGAAAGAGCAAGAACGAGAACGAGATAGAAAGAGAGAGAGAGAGAGAGACACATACTAATATAACGAAAACGGCATAAACGAGAGGGGCGCAGAGAGAGAGAGAGAGGTACACCGATAACGATGCAGATAGAACGATACATGACGATACACCTACACAACAACAAGACGTCATGATGAATGGGGAAACAAAACACAGAGAGAGAAAGAGAGATATAGTGATACAACACAGTGTACACCGAGAGACACATATAGAGAGAGAGAGAGAGAAAGGAAGAGGAGCGGTGACAGAGATAGTCAAAAAGGAGGTAGAGTGAGGGAGAGGGGGACAGTGAAAGGATACACATATTACCCAACGATATGGAGATGGCGAATATATCCTTTGCGTGTACAAGTGGCTTCGGGACGATGTGTAAAATATGTATGCGACCGCGTTGCGAACGCAACGTGGATGCTGCATTATCTGTTGTTCGGATGGTCTGTTTGTTGTTCCTGCGTTCGGAATGTGCGTGCCAGTTTGCGATCGGCACCGTATTGGGTTCGAGAGCGCTCTGATCAACGATACCGTTACCGTTGTGTCGCAACCCTTATTTCTGGGATGCGCATCCATCGGGCCCAATCGGAAAATGGCAATGAATCCTGTTTACCTGCCATTGACAGTATCGATCGACGGGCCCTCCGCGTTTCTCGATCGATTCAACAATCGAATGATAGATCGACCGAGAAATTTGCCCGTGCCACCGATGTCCCTAGAAATGTTTGGACCCACTCTCGGGGCGCATTCGCGCCCCTCTTGTGCCCCGCTCTCACGGTCGAGTGGCATGCGCATCATCGCGCGGCGCCCCCACTACTGGCGATGATGGCGGCGCTGGCGACGTCGGCCAGTGGATATAGCAGTAGCACTGATGGCGACGATGCTGACGATAAAGATCGCGGTTGCCGTTGCCATGTCTCCGACAATGCTGGCGGGCCGCAGGCGGCCGATTTGCGCGCCGGCTCCTCGGTGGCGCCGCGCGCCAAGCACGCCCGCGCAACGGCCCCGCGCCCCGCCCCGTGCCCGCCCGGCTGCGTCGCGATCCGTCGCGATCCTCTGGCCGCGACCGCGGTGCAGCTGGCCCCGCGCCGCCTTCGCTTCGGCCGCGCGCGCAAAATGCCCGGCGCATGGCTTCGCCGAGAACAACTGGACAGGCCCGGCTTTGAAAAGTGACCCGCGGCGCCGCCGCCGGCCACTGCGCGACGCGCGAAGCATGCGAGACCCCTGGCCCAACGGCCTGTCTCGAGCGAAAAGTCCAAACGTGCGCCCCCAGGTTGAAACCGCTTTGGCATAAAAGAAGGAAGACAGAAACGAACGAGAGAAATGGCAGGCCTCTGGAGCGGACTGGGCTGTTCAATGGACGTTTGGAACCCATGTCCACAACGACGGCCGATGCCCGTCGGCGCGGCGACGTTTCGACGAGACAGATCGGCGCGCGTCGCGCAACGCGGATGAAGGTCGGAGGAACACGCGCGCGGCTGGGCCGGGGGGGCGGGGGGGCGCCGCGGAGGTGATACATGGCGCTCGGAACCGATCCGCGGCCGGTCGGCGCGAGGCTGCGCGCGCAGCGTTGAAGCGGGACGCGCCGAGGTCTCGCGCGGCGCGCAGGCGCACGCGCGCGCGCAAGCGGCGACGACGCGCCGATCGCCGCCGCCGACGCGGCGCGCGCCGCGCGGCGGGGGCGCGAAGCGCTGGCGCGGAACTCGCCCCGGCCAGGATGCGTCTTGACATTGCCTGCCTGTGCGGAGCGCCTCCGCCTGAACCGCCCGCGAACGGCCCTTCGCAGCGCAGCAAGCGGATTCCAGACAGTCTGAATGCCAACGCTCTGCCCCTTCACCCCAGGTCCACAGACAGCTTGCAGCTGATACTGGCGCGCCCCGAGGCAAACCATCCATCGCCGCTCCTCCAGCTCGCCGCCAACTCCGCCTCGCGACAGCGCCGGCGCTCGCGGCGGCGCTTTGGAAGAGGCCCGGCCCGCGGCTCTGGAAGCGCGCTCGGCGACGCCGCGCAGGCAGGCCGCGCCGTCGCGCGTGGCGGGGGGGCCCGCCGCGCGCGGCGCTGCGCCGCCGGAGCTGCGCCCGCGCAGTGGAATTTCGTCGCGTCCAGCCCAGCGGATGTTCAAGGGGCGCCTCTTCCGAGTTGGCACTGGTCACGCGCGCCGCGCGCCCGGTGCTCCCCTGACTCGGCCTCTGCAGCGCGTCCAACCGCGCGAGCGACCTGCCGAGCGTCGCGGGGCGGCGCCTGGGAAGCCTCGGGCCCAAAGATCACTCCTCCTCCTCCTCCTCCTCCTCCTCCTCCTCCTCCTCCTCCTCCTCCTTTGGGCCAGAGACATGCACATCTTAGATGTGCATGTCTCTGATCTTCGCAGAGCCGCGAGATGTCGCGTTCGGCTGGCTGCGCGCGCGCAGAGAGGCGTGGCCCAGTGGCTCTGTCGGCGGCCAACCCGAATGGGAGCAGCTGCCCGGCGCCGGGCGACTCTGGCGCGGCGCGGGCTGCGCTCGCCTGATTGCGCGGCCGCGCGGTCCCAGGCAAAGCTCGAGGCCCACGTTCCCACCCCGCGCCTCTTCGGACAGAAACTGTCGTTCAGTCCCAGCTCGCCGCCGCAAGGAAACGCGGGGTGAGACCGCCAGAACAACCGCGAGGCTGACGAACGCGGGGGCAACCAGTCGGACGTCCGCGAGGACAACGATCAGAAAAACTATCGGGGCAACCGTCGGAAGAGCCATCTGTGCAACCGGGACGACTATCGGGGAGACTCCAGGGCAGAGGCTGGACACCACGCGACAAACGCAAGACTACCGCAGGACAAGCAGGGCAACCGCGGAACAACTGCGCGAGCTCCCAGCGATCAGGAGGAGCGAAACATGAAGACGAAGCACAATTCACCCTCGCCCTGACGTGGCTGGGACCACCGCCGTTCCCGCCCGATATATCCTCGCCCCCGCGCCACGTGCGACGCGGACCGAAGTCGAAGTCTCGACTGGGCGACTCCATGCCGTTTCGATCTGCCCGCAGGTTCCCACCATGCCAACCCGTGATGAAGAAGTGCCAACTCCTTTCTGCCATGGCCTGCGGGTAGATCCTGCGGGGCTCGACGCTACATGTTCTCATCGCACGCGCCAGGGGGTGGCGCGCGATGGATGAGCACCAACACTGCGCACGATGCGCGTCGTCCGAGCGGGAGGCGGTCGGCGGGGGCGACCACTTTGCGGGGAGCCGGAGCGGCAACAGCAGGTGACCCT